TTATCATTTGATAGAAAAACGCATTGTGTGATATATGTATTGACAATCAAATGATGAATTTCATTTACATAGCTGTTCACATTCTGAAATATCTGTGATTGGAAGTAATACTTTATCTGACGATTGTCTTATATTCAAAATCAAGACTTTCTTTTTTCTTTTCTTTGCGTCGAAGAATTAATAATGATACTTTTTTTTTTTATTTTTAAATAATTGACTCATAGATCGTGGATTTGAAATAACATTTAAATCATCTGATGATAGTAATATTCAAATTGTTAAATATGGTGAATATCTTTATGATCATATTATCATCTTTGCACCTTCTACAAAAGGTAATGAATACTTCTCTTTTTTTTTTGTTGTTGTTGAAATGGTTCTATTATTAGAATTTGGTGGACGTTTGGATGCTGCAATTTTAACACAATTTGTTGATGCTGGTGGAAATGTTCTTGTTGCAGGCAGTAATGTAATTGGTAAATTATGTCTAATTATTATTATTTTTTTTCTTTGTTTACATATATTATTAATTAAATAATTCTAGGTGATGTTATTCGTGAATTTGCTGGTGAATGTGGTATTGAATTTGCTGATGATAAAAGTTCGGTTATTGATCATATTAATTTTGATGTTAATGATGATGGACAAGTAAAAAAAAAATATATATATCTGTAAATAAACTTTATTTTTTCTTTTTTTAGCATACATTAATTGTTGCAAGTCCAAATAATCTTCTTTCATCGGAATTAATTGTTGGACAATCAAAGAAAAATAGTTTACCATTCCTTTTCCGAGGAACTGGGTAAGATTTCAATATATACTTAGGATATAACCAAAGTAATTAGTAGCAGAGATAATTTAATTCCATTTAATGTTTAGCTAGATGTACAGAATCTACCTGTGTGTTCGCCAACATGCTTTGAGAATATTTTTGTTTCGAGAAAAGTTTCTTTAAGTTTTTTTTTTTATAAGAAACTAAAATACTTCTATTACTACTTTTTGTATGCTCTAAGTTTTTTTTCATTTTGTTTTTAACTGTAACATTTTTTTTTGTATTAAAGAATGTCATCGGATCCAGATAATCCATTATTACTTGATGTTTTAACTGCTTCATCAACATCATATACAGCTAATCCTGAAGAAAAGACATTATCTGAAGTAAAAAAGAGAATAATATTTTCAATTATTTAATTCAATTTTTTTAAATTAGTATCCAGCTACAGTTGGTAAACGAACATTATTAATATCTGTTCTTCAAGCTCGTAATAATGCTCGTGTTGGTTTTGTTGGTTCATTGGATTTTTTTAGTAATGAATTTTTTCAAAGTTCAGTACAATCAAATAATGGAAAGAAGTAAAATGTTTATTTATTTATTTATTTAAATAAAAGCTAATCACGTTTTATTTAGACATGATAAAACAGGTAATCAAGATTTAGCTATAGCATTATCAGATTGGTTATTTAAACAACGTGGTGTTTTACGTGCAAGAAATATTCGTCATTATTTAAAAGATGATAAATCAACACCAAGATTTTATACAGTTAAAAATGATATTGTATGAAAAATATAATTTTAGAAAAAAAATAAAATAAAACAAGAGAAATAATTTCACTTGTATACAATTTTAGGTATTTAGTATACAATTTGATGAATTTGTTCATGGAAAATGGATGCCATTTAATGGAACAGATGTTCAATTAGAATTTGTTCGTATTGATCCATTTGTTCGTACAACATTAAATAATAAAGGTTTAATACGCATAAAAAAGAACTTTTCTCTATTGATAATAACGAAATTTATTTGATTGATTTAGGTGGTCAACTTGAAACACAATTTCGTGTTCCAGATACTTATGGTATCTTTAAATTTGTTATTGATTATAATCGTATTGGTTATACACATTTATATACAGCAACACAAGTATGTCTTTATTCAATAAATATAAATTATATATTCGAATCTATGATCGAAAAAAAAAACGAATTTCCAACTTACATTATAGACTGTATAAAACAGACAGAGTTCAGAAAAGATTTGTAACTTGTATTGAAAGGCATTCACTTAAAGAAATATGTCAACATTTGTTTCTATTTAGTTATGATCTCCAAAAGAAGAATTTTCGATTTTAATTCATTGAAAAAAAAGTAATGATGAAACAACAGTGTTCATCAATAGAAAAGAAATTTTCTCACTTTGTTGAAAACATTTCTCTATTAGAGACATATTTCAAAAAATAACTTCAACAAGAAATAATTTTCAAGTAAAATCGTGACTTTCGATCATATAAAAGATGAAAAAAATTTAGTATCTAATTGAAATTAAGTTATCATCAATTAATCTTTCGTTTGTATTCGAAATAAATTCGAATAGTTTAAATACAAAAAAAATAAACTTTTATAGAATTAGATCGTAGTATTTATAAACTTTTCTTCTGATTATAGGTCTCTGTTCATCCTTTACGTCATACAGAATATGAACGTTTTATTACATCGGCTTATCCATATTATATTTCATCATTTTCAATGATGATCGGTGCATTTCTTCTTAGTTTTATTGTACTTTATCATCGTGACGATATACCAAAGAAAAAAGCTGAATAAACCAAACAAATAAAACATTAATAGACAAAAGACATTTTATTCATTCCCTTTAGGTGAATCTTTATTATTAACGTTACTATTATTATTGTTGTTATTTTATTATTCTTCTTCTTCATGTTGATTACTATGCTGTTTTTTTTTTTATAACGACTATTCTTGTTTTGTTTTTTGAGTGTTTAGAGTCTAGAAATATCTGGTCCTGTCGTCTATTTAATAAGGGATATTTAACATGTTTGTTTTTTTTTTGTTTTTTTGTTATAAGAAAAAGAGAATAAACAAATCTCTGTGACATTTTGCTTTCCTAATTGAGTTATTATTATGTCGATTTGTTTCCATATTGATAATTTTCATTGTCTGTAACCAATAATTGTCTTTAATATTAGTAAGATTAATTAATTAATATCAATATTCAAGAATAATCTAGAACATAGTTGAAAATAACATATTTATCAATTATTATATCGGTTTATTTATGTATAAAACATGAACAATATGCAGTATGTTTGAAAAATCATCAATTGACTTTTCTTTTTGTGATAATAAAGAAGATTTATAAGTTTTTATCTCGTGAAAATTATAACTTTTAGATACAATGCATAAAAGAATCTCTGCTATTGAGTGACAAAAAAAAACTCAATGCAGGATTTTCTGCTGAATTACTTGACTTTTTTTCTTTCATTATACTGAACTTTTCATCATTCAGGTATTGTTCTCGTATTTGATATGTATTTGCATGGCACTTTTGTTTTGAAAAATTAGAGTCATTAGACTCTAGTTTGATGATTTTGGTAACTTTAATATTGTATGGATACTATCAGTTGACTTCTTCGCAAAGATCAAATTGCTTATAGTTTTCTTTCTTTTGAGAGATGACTTTTCAAACATCCTAGAGATTAAATAAAAATACGTTCAGATATATTTCATGTTAATTTAAATCAGAAAAGATGACTCATGATAGCATTAAAAAAAGGAAAGTTCGATTCAATATAAAGTGTTATAGATATTGATTGTTGTATTACTGAAGAAAAAATCTAAAGCAAATATGAAGATGTTACTATTGTAATGTAATCTATTCGATCATCTTCATCTATCCTTGTCAAATATTCTATTAATATAAATTATTTTGTTTATTAACATAAAACTTTCATTGTTTTTTTTTGTTGATATGCATATTTTCAGATAAATATTTTTTTAGATTCATTTTTATAACTGAAATAATGTTATTATCATATTTAAAACTACAATTCTCATCAAGTATATTGAAATAAATCATTTTGAATGAATTTTGAAAAATTTTCTTTGTTAGAATTATTAACTTCTTGTTTATCGAATGCTCCTATTCGTACAACGAGTACCATATCAGCAAACTCAACAATTAAACAAGATAATCAAACACGTAGTGAATCTCAAGGGTAGGATTTTATATTCGTATAAATTTCAAAATTATAAAAACAAATATTTTCTAGTCGTCGAGTGAACACAGGAATACTTTTACTCAATATGGGTGGACCAGAAACAACAGATGAAGTATTTGATTTTCTTAATCGTCTGTTTTCTGATAAAGATATTATGCCTTTACCAGCCCAACAGTATGTTTTTTTTCTACGATATATATATATCTAGGTTTTGTTTATTTTTGTCACAAAAAAAACTTTTTTTTCAGAACATTAGGTCCTTTGATTGCTCGTCGTCGTACTCCAAGTATACAAGAACAATATGCAAAAATTGGTGGTGGATCACCAATTAAAATGTGGACAGAAAAACAAGGTCAAGGAATGGTTAAACTACTTGATCAAATATGTCCATCGACAGGTATATTGACTTCAGAGAAAAATATTTCACAAAAATATATTTATTATTCTTAAGCTCCTCATAAATATTATATTGGTTTTCGTTATGTTAAACCATTAACTGAAATGGCACTTGATGAAATCGAAAAGTAATTGTTTCTTTTTCGTTGTTTAAGATGAAAATATTAAATAAAAATTTTGTAGAGATCGTCCTCAACGAATTATTGCTTTTACACAATACCCACAATATAGTTGTTCAACAACAGGTAGTAGTTTAAATGCAATTGCTCGATATTATGCAGCAAAAAAGAAAAAAATAAAATTAGAGAAAGATAATAAAATCTCCAATACTAATGAATCTATAAATAGTCAAACATTCAATGATCTTAAATGGAGTGTTATTGATCGATGGCAAACACATTCTGGTTTTATTCAAGTAAAATAAAAAATTGTCAGATTAAACAAAAACAAAATCAATTTTATAGGCATTTGTTGAAAATATTCGTAGCGAACTGAACAAGTTTCCTGACAATGTTCGTAATGATGTTGTTATTTTATTTTCTGCTCATTCATTACCAATGAGTGTAAGTTGAAGTTTTATATGTTTGTTAATCAAGTAGTCCGTATTTGATGTTAAGTATCTTTGTTATTTCAGTACAGAGAAATGTCCATTTTGCATCATTGAAAGTTGATTGTGAATCTGGATGATAATGTAATATAGCTTTTTTAACAGTTTTACTCAATTCATTACTGTCAGTTGAACCCATCGTTGCACCTGCTTTCCGCGGTGGATATTTGTTATAGATGTGTTCAAGAAATTCGCATATACCTTTTTCGGCTTTCTTATCGAGTTCTTTCAGCTCCAATGCTAATTCAATGCGAAATTTCTTCTTAAGTTCTTCATTTACTGCTTCTTCTTCATATACTTTCTTTGCGCGATATTGTTCAACAAATGAACTACTTATCACATACCAGTCGTGAGTAGTTAAATTGCGTGGCACTAAAGTTTGAGCTAGTGTTATACAACGCAGGTGATAATTATAAGCTGTATCAGTCATTTTCAATACTTTTTCATATACTACAGCAGTATGATGACATGCTCGTGCTTCTCTTAAAATAGAAACAATGTTAAGTATGTTTCTAAAAATAAACTGTTGAAATGTAATTCAGGAAAAATCGCACGATTCCAGTTAACTTACCCTCAATATCATGTTCTTTGGCCAATAAAATTGCTTCTCGAAATTTGTCAATAATAGTCCATATGACATCCATATTAAGATGCTCATCATTTTCTAAATGCTCTTTAAGCATACGAACACCAATACGTCGAGCATTAGCACTTTCATGCATACACTGATGCAACCAAATACTCGAGCGAAGTTCTTCGAGGTCCGTTGATCGAAATGAATCTAGTTCACAAGCCCAATATAAAGCGCGATCAAGATAAGGTTGACAGTCATAAATAAGTCTTGGCTCATCTTTAAAATATTTTACCGCTTTTTCAAATGTCAACTGACCAAGTGAGTAATAAACCGTAGCTACTGAATCGAGTTTTTTCAGATCTGTACGTTCAAAGCAATTAGTAATAAAATGAAAAACACGCAAGTGTTCTTCTGTTGGTAACATAAGAAAGCTAGCACAACAGTCGTAAACGAAATCATTAATTTGACGATTAATTGAAGTTAACCATTCTTCTGATTTCGTTGTCCTTCCTAGAAAAACAATATAATCAGCATATATTACAATGGAGAAAGCATTTTATGTTTACCAAATCGAAAAGCAGAGCCATAAGATGTTATACACTCTTTCAAATTGTAATCAAGTTCTTTTCTATTGACTGATTGAATATCAGAACTTGTAATTTGATAAGCAAATAGAACCCCGAGATTTTTATAAGCTGATGCTCGTTCATCATCATTGACACTAGTATTTAAAGCTTGATTATAGTATTTAAGAGCATCAGTAAAACGCCCCTGAAGCGCCACCGGTGCAGCATGTTTTTGCTCTTGTAATTTGGTAAAAATTTCATTACCTTGCTCCCGATATCTCACAGACGGTGTTGAGAATTTTGCCATGCTTCTTCCTTGCGCTCTCGTATGAAACTTGTAACAAATCGTTGCAACAATAAATACACTGAAATAAGTTGTTTTTTATTTTTATGCAAGAATAAGAGAAAAAGAAAAAAAGAAAAAAAGATGCAGTTGACAATCATCACAACACAGAGAAGCAAACCATTTCAAGTACGAATTTAATGCATTTCTAAAAGAATTCTCACTTCCTTTCTCTCTCTCATAGGCTTTTAGAGCGAAAATAATTTTTCCTAACACTGGGTTTTTTTTCATCATGTGAGAACGAAGACTAGACAGCTACGATACGTATTTTTAATAAAAATGAAAAAAAATTAATGTATTTTCAGAGCAATGAAATTCTCAAATTGCTTTTTGCATTTCACGAAATCGAGATATGGGTTTTTATCTCTATAAAGCTGTGTTCCAAGAGATTTTGATGTAAAGAGGCACTAACTAAACATTGTAAGTGTCACTTTTATATGGATTATCGAAGAAAATCAGTTAAACATATATGTAAGAAATGAAAGCAACAATTTTTAAGTCATCACGTGAATTTTTAACAAATTCTTCGATTAAATGTTTAGGTAGTCAATCGTGGCGATCCTTATCCAGCAGAAGTTGCTGCAACTGTTCAAGCAGTTATGGAATCTCTTAATTTTTCAAATCCATATCGACTTGTTTGGCAATCAAAAGTATATCAAATGCTCAATCACTTTCTAATACAGAATATTTCAATTCGTAGGTTGGACCAAGTGCTTGGCTTGGTTGTGCAACAGATGATGCTATCAAAGGATTAGCTAATAATAATCGTCGACATATTCTTTTAGTTCCAATAGCATTTACAAGTAAGTAGAGATAATATATATTATAATTAAAGTATTAACCAAATTATAAAACTAATCTATAATTTTAATTCGAAATTTAAAATAGAAATACATTAAATTTGTTTCTTTTCATTTAGGTGATCATATTGAAACTTTACATGAACTTGATATAGAATATGCTCAACATCTTGCTACAAGTGTAAATTGAAATTAATATCATTCATGTATTTCATGTATTATTAACATTTAGGTTGGAATTAAAATGATTCGTCGCTGTGCATCGTTAAACGATAGTCCACTTTTTATCAAAGTATTTTTTCATATTATTTTCAATATTAATTTTCTTTATTGTATTCAAAATTGTTTTTAGGCTATGGCTGATATTGTTCATGAACATATACAAAGTGAACGTTGTTATACAAATCAATTACCTCTTCGTTGTCCAGGTTGTGTCAATGCCTCATGTGAACAAATGCGAAAATTTTTTTGTTCATCATCATAAAAAACTAATACAAATATATTATATAAGAAAAATAAATGAATACAATAAATATGAAAGAAGAACAATTTTAAAATTATTTCTAATTAATTAACATTAAAATCAAGTGGTTCAAATTTTCAGAAATTAATTATGAATATTCAATTTTTTTTACTTTTTATTTAATAAATAGAGTTGTAGGAGTTTGTTACTATATTCTTCTTGTCGACATTCAAATTTTCATTCTTCAAAAATTATAATCTTGTTAAGCATAGTAGATAAGTTCTTTTAATAGGCACTCAAACAAGTTAGTGATAAAGAAGATTATTCATAATTTCTATTGCAACTTTATTTCTTTTAAGAATGAATATAGCTGATATATTATCACGGACTTGAAATTTGTCTTTAATTTTTAATATCATATTTTTATGACTAAATAATTTTTTACTATGTGCAACAGCCTTTGTTGATCATAGTGAATGACTATTAAACTTTCGTTTCATAATAAAAGTAAACACAAAATATATTTTATGATATTTGAATTTTGATCATCTTTCGTGCCTGTGTCGTATTGTAAGCCTTTACTTCCATGAAAAGATATTATGAAGGTTGTTTTTTGTGTGTTCGCATGAGTTATGTGACATACCGAAGTTTACATCAAATGTAATACTTTAATTTAAAAAATTCTTTCCTAAAATAGTTAACAATTCTGGTTTTGCATGCTCAATGACGTATAGACTTTTAACATTGAAAAGTGAATGCTTCAATAAACAAAACAAAATTACTATTTTTCAGGGCAATTCACTTTAGTATTCATTGATTTCTGAAGTGACTAATTCGGTTACATTTTCAGATATGACTAAAAATTACTATCAAATAAAAAAACCAAGAATTAAGAAAAAATATAATCTAAATTTGATTATATTTCTAAATTGCAGATAACACATCGACTATTCAAAGTCCTTTTGCATCCTAAATTATTAATTAAAAATAGAACTTTATAATTAGATCTTTTAGAATCCATAAATCTACTCTACACTGCCATATGATATTTTTGAGTCATACTTTACATATAAAGTCTACATCATCATACAATTTCATTATCTCCTCATTGGTTCCACTGTATCGATACTTCACAAAAAAAATACGTACCTTTTTTTTTCATTTATTAGGATATACAACTAAACACTTGCATCTAACGAGGAACAAACGTCTACATAGAATATATATAAAAAAAAGAAAATTATGTGGGTCGATTTTTGCTACATGCTAAACTGTTAAAAATATGATTGTTTATATGTATTAATATTCTCAGCAACATAATTAAATATTTTTATCCTTTAATCCATAAAGTCCTGGTTTTACATTAACATTTTCTTCTTTTGGAAGTTGATTGCTTTTGCTTGCTGGAGGAGCATGAATTGTTACGTATGCATATTTATTTTTTGGTACTTTAACTAAATAATGATAGAGGATGCCACCAGCAGATTGTGTTGCTACTTTCGATGGTTTAAGTTGAAATTTTGCTGGTACTTTATGAACACTTTGAAGTTTTTTTGATATTATTGATTTATGCTAAAACGTAAGGCAAAAGAAGATTCGAGATGAATGATATCAAATAAACTTACATCATTGAATAATTTTTTACTGTGTGCATCAATATTTGTTTGCCATGCTGAACGACCACCAGGAAGCGTTGGTTTACTTAAATAAATACAAAAATTTTTTAAACATACTTTTTTTATTAATTTTTACATGACAGGCTTATTTGAGTCTTCTTTAGCTGCTACTGGCTTTGGAGCTGCTGGTGCACCATCATTGGCTCCGATTAGAAGTACAACGATAGTAAAAAATAAAGCAAGAAGAGTTTTTGTTTGCATAATGTTATTAGTTCTTCTTTATAACTTTCTCTACGTTCTGATATACTTCTTTTATCCAGTAGGGGTTATATATACAGTCTTAATTTATCTCCGATGTGCCCATTCCTTATCGCATGTACTAACGTATAGGACCTTTATATATTCTAAATAGTTGTTATCCTTCTTCTTCAGGCATTATTATTGATAGTGTCCTTGGAAAGACAAAAAGAGAAGTCTAGAACAAACATTGCAGAAAAGAAAGAATTATTTTATGAAATTATGCAGGACTCGTATCGTTTTGCATTTGATTGATAGATATTCATAGATTCGTTGATTTTTATCACGTTGTATAGAAAAAGGAGAAATAAAGACACCAAGAAAAATAAAAAGAAAATATCTACTTAGCTTGACGAATTTATCTTTTCATTGAAGAAATAAATTTTGAACTTGACTAGTAATTTACTTCGTTATTTTTATGCTTTTATAGAACATTTTCAATAAAGAAAGATGCATAAATAAGAAAAAAAACCAGATAAACAATTTATAACAATTATTGGTTTGTTTTTTTCAAAACAAGATTTTGCTAACAAAAGCCAAAGCTTCATTTTATACTGTGCAGCCAGTTGCATTGAAACCTTTCTTTTTTTTTTATTTTATAGATTATTCAGTCAAATAATGATGTTTCTTCTAAGAAATATTGCTGATAGAGTTTCAAGAAACTTAAAAAAACCTACCTTGGAATCATTTATAAAGCGTATTCGGAAAAACAGAATTTTTAAAGCTAGATATTCATAAGAGTAAAAATGTTTTAAAACAAAGTACATTTATGATGTATAACTGCTTTTGAATCTTAAAAAGACTGTACTTCAGTTCATGTATAGTGGTCGAAAAAAAACACAGTTACATAGCAGAAATTTACACTAGAAAACATTATATGTTACTTGTGTTATTAATATCATTGATCAACAAGCTTTAAAACATGCTGAATCAATAACAACTTTAGTATTAGTCGGAGATTTCTGTTTGTCTTGATAATTTTAAAATTGTTTATTAGGTCATTCTCGAAGAACACGTAATGTTTGATGCATGACATTCATTGCATAAAATTCTCATTGCAGGTATTAAACTAGGTACATTTATTATTCTCTAAAACTTGTTACTCATACACATATATATGCACTCTTGTATCAATAAGAATGACTCATACTTGTCACCTCTACTCAGGTAAAACAATGATTCACATACATTTTCTTTTTCTTATCGGAGCATAAGAAAAAACTTCGAGTATAATAAGCAGTCAGCCAAAATAAATAATGAGTTACCTTTTACTAAGAAGAAAAAATGATGAGAAGTGGGCTATAAATTTTTTTTTCTGTTAACGTGTTCACTGAGTAAAAAAAAAGCGAATACCGTCACAAACAGTCAGTCATTTTTTGTGTGAGTCTCATCAATACAAAATTTCGTAAGATTTTTTGTTTGTTCTGTTTCTTGAGTAATCTAACTAGTCTTTTTTTTTACCCACTACATTTTTCTCGGTTACCTTTAAATACGTCTCTCCATTACATGTGTCAATTCTTCATTTTCAATCGTTCGTGATAAGTGAAGAAAAAAAGGCCTTCGTATATATATTATAGGTATTGTTTCTATAACAAAATGATACTAACTGGGTTTTTACCTGAATCAAATATAATACAGACAAGTAATACGATGGATAGAACAGTAATTGTTGATGAACTTACAAAATTATCAACAACATCATCTCAAGCAATGTCCATTAATGATAATTCTAGTTCGATCACTCCGATTAAAATTCCACTTGTGTCATTCGAACCAATTTTGGCTACA